AATGCATATTGAAAGTAAATTAGCAGCGACTACGGTTGAAATCATGATTGGTATGTGTGGGGACAGCTTCCTTCGGAAACCCCCATTTTTGTACCGCGCCAAATATTTCCATTTAACATGAGCAGATCTGGAATGTTCTCAAAGGGGTTCAGCTGCCGGTCTGCTTAAGGAAACACTAGTCTAAGAAAATCTAGAAAATATGTATAGTTTTTGTTTGTGGAGCAAACAGGATCGCGCACGGCAGCCTCGGTAATGGGAACCAACATGGCGCACAGCGAGATCGTACCCACGGGGAACGAGGTTGCCACAGACCTTGAGGTTCTAGGGGTGATGCCTGGTCCAGTCCGACCAAATTAATAGCTCGTTGTTGGATCCTATCAAGAAGGGGGGAGCAGTCTGAAGCACTAGCTCAGATATGACTGCATGTATTCCTACTGCAAAATGGTAATAACGTTTACCACTATATAACGTGAAGTTTGTGTGGTGATGATGAGCTTCGATTTTCACTGAATTCGAAGGCATCACAGCACTTATCAAAAAACACGATCAAGGCGCCTACACCAAGCACGGACAAATAGTTCGAAGTCTGAGTGAAAAAAACTAGTGAAGTTAACGGGATTTCAACTCTCTTTTCAAGATGTCCAGGGATGTTATTTCACGACTGTCTAGTCAGGACAGGGAGCCTTTATTCAAAAATGGCAGGTGCTGCCTTGGCGAAGGCACGCTGACCAGAGCAGAGAGTTCTACTAGTCCGTTTCCATGTGTCCACATCTGGAGGTTTATTGAACTGAAGGATACTGTACATTAAAATTCAATATTTAAAGATCAACTGCATAATCCACTTAAGATCAACTGCATAATCCACTTCGATGATTATGCAGATAAGTGCATAATTACATGAATTTGTTGCCTTACGAGTAGGCCCTGCAGTTAATTTATAACAAATTACCATACTTTTATTCAATACACTTGTTATTGAATAGTTAAGTGATCCATATGGTGTTTCGCTGACCACAGTTCAATAGGCCTGGGACCTAATGACGTCACGCTTTCTTTACATGTGCGCTTTCCTATGCGTCAGACGGTCCCTACTTTGTCTGGCGTCCCGACTTCGCTCCCATAGGAAATTAAGCGCATATGCAAACAAAGCCATAACGTCATTAGGACTTGGTCTATTAACCGATAGGTTTAGGTTAAGTCAGAGGTAACTGCTTGATAGTCGAATTCAATAAGAAATCGTTTTTTAACATCACAAATACTATTAGTATTTGTGATGTTAAAAAACGATTTCTTATTGAATTCGACTTTTAGATTTAAAATCTAAACGTCTTTTATTTGTCGAATAAGCAATGACTGTTTTGAGTACCACTTAAATGCATCGTGCAAGGTATAAAGGCATAAATATTCAAATGCCAAAGAGTAATTAGTGTTTAACCTGGAATGCACTTTTGATGTTAAGTTCATGAAGTGCAGCGATTTGAGGTATAACAAAACACAGTATGTCAGAACGTATACTTAAAGTTAGACAAAATGCCGCACGAGAGTAGTTACCATTTTTGCTTTCGATGGATCGCTGTTTTCAGCATTTCAGTTACTCTCCATTCAACTGATAAGCATCGGACATAAAAGCAGATTTCAGGGCATTGTGGCGACTGGTCAGTTTGCAGTATGTCTGGCTATGAAACTGAGCACGAACACCGATGTGTACCGTATAGTTAACGCGGTGCCACCTTGATTTTAGTAAGTGGTTTTAGGGCTTTATCGTTGGAATTCCTCGGTTTCCCTGTGTCAATCTGGAGGCTACTGGACATTCTAAAGCAATAATTAAAGGTCAATTGCATAATTTCACCACAATAATTATGCAGACCTGTGAATTTCATTTCCATACGAGTACTGTCAAATTACCTTATTTTATTCAAAGGATTTATCATTGGAATGATCAAAGTGAACCATACTTGAACGAAAGGTTGGTCTTGAAGAGATCACTCATTTCATAGTAAGGTAACAATTGATTTGCAAGCCATATATAATACCAAAGGTTTGACTTTAAAACGCTGAGGGCTCGAAACAAATCACAACTCGCCTCATCCCCCATTTTACATTCAACAATAATCAATCTTCTAATAATTAACTCGAAGAAGTAAGTCCTTTGACTGCATACACTCTGGGTATCGAATGTTATATTCCACCGATAGTGTTCTTCCCTTTGAGCAAAGTGTACAAAGGTGCTGAAGTATTATCCGGCAGCGGTTTGGATATAACATGGATATATTGTGCGTTATTCAACCAAAGCAGAGCAATATGTACGCCATACAGTTATACAAGAATCCAAACGGCCGAAAAACTACATCGAAGGCAGCATACCATCATGAAACAGTTATAGTGTAGTAACAGTAATAACTCCACGATATATATGTATTTTAACGATGACTGAATTTTAACGATGACTGAACGCTAACATTATAACATTACGCCAAAGAAAGAAACGGAAGACCAAACTTCCTTTAAAAATGAACACTACGTATATAGGCTATCATGCATGATCGTTTAAAAAGCTCGTGAAAAGACTCACAGTAAAATATGATTGGATGTGGCATCGTGCCCTGGTATCAGTTGGGTCCTCTTGTCAGTCTGACCACCGAGAGTGAGGCAATAATGTTCATGTTGACCTTTTGTGTGTTCAAAGGTGGACACTCGCAATTAATTTTCGGATAGTTTGGTAGACCCCATGGGTATAAACCGTACAACTGAATCTTTTGCAATTCCGTCTGAATAGGCGTTCAACGGTAATTTGAAAACGTTCCTCGCGCAATATGAATGGATAACAAAACTTGGGGGATATGATAGCAGTACATTTTCTGTGACTGATACTTTAAGAATGACAAAATGGCACCGACGGGCGAGTATTGAGAACACCAATATTTATTACAAGGTCCATAGGACTTTACAAATTACCTTGTTATAACAGGTACCTTGTATTAACAATATTGGAAAACAAAGGAAAACAAAGAAAAACAAAGACTTATTACCAGGGTTCGACTGTACACATCGAGTTTGACCTCCGACGAAGTGTAATTGTATATATTAATAAAAAAAAAAATAAAGGTCTATTAATTTTTATTGATGAATTAATTACATTTAATGAATTAATTTTAATTTGACAAGTTAATTTTAAATTCACGAAATAATTTAGATTTGATGAATTAATTTTAACTGATGAATTTCAATTTTAAAATTTACAAGAATAGATGCAATATGATGACAAACATATAAATAACGATGATTGTGAAAGAAAGAACTTCATGGTAACTATGCTTCAACAATTAAAGGAAACAAGAATTTGTACCAATTCTTTTGAGGACGTTGCATGAAAAAATAGTATCCAATACGCATATGTTATTAGTATCGTTTCGGTTTGCGGTAACACCATGTGGTAATAACTACTGCTTAGAAGATATTTAGTTCTGAAAAGAACTTGTCCTGCTTATTATCAACTTCGCTAAGTAGTTTTTTTGTTCTGATAAGAACAGTCCTGCTGTAAGTTCTAGACGAACTTGTCTTTGGTCTCAACGTTTCGACTAGCCTGCTCTAGTCATCGTCAGATTTCATAGATGGAATAGACTTGACGATGACTAGAGCAGGCTAGTCGAAACGTTGAGACCAAAGACAAGTTCGTTTAGAACTTACAGCAGGACTGTTCTTATCAGAACATAAAACTACTTAGCGAAGTTGATAATAAGCAGGACAAGTTCTTTTCAGAACTAAATATCTTCTAAGCAGTAGTTATTACCACATGGTGTTACCGCAAACCGAAACGATACCGATACTCCACCATGCAAAGCCTCAAATCTTATATATGTTATAAGTAACAATATATATCTAAGCTACTCTCATGTAAAATACCGGTGCGTGCTGGTGTATACAGTGTTAGTTGTATACAGAACTTTATATAGAACTATTTTAAAAATAAATGTAGGCCTACTGAAATTAAATGAATAGACTTGTAAATACGATGGAATTTAATAGATGGAATAGACTTGTGTATCGGTGCATACGTCATTATGCTGTAATGAACATCTCTGAACCCATCCAACGTGCTGATTATCTTTCATCCATCCACAATGATGTGAAATACCGAAATAACTACATGGAAATCGTACTCAATACAACAGCAAAAGTTTGACAACTTATTTTAAAGTACATGTATAGCCTAATCGTTTTCATAACGTCTGTACACTTTAATTCCCAAAACTTGCCCACTTATGCAATTATAATAATAATAATAATAATAATAAGACCATTATCATGTTGTGGCCATCTCGATTTTGTCCCATTCAAATCAACCAAAAGCGAGGCTGGAAGGGAAAAATAGGCTGGTTCCTTTTTGCACATAAAACGTTATCAGTCAGTACTGTTATTGGATACAGGGAACATGACTGAAATGGTGGCAGCATGATATAGGTCTATAGTATGGCCCCTTCATAACTCGGCAAATGTGACGTGTCTATCTGCTGGGGCTGAACGTTTCAAACAGCAGAGTCGTAATCTATAGTCAATCACAAATCAATCACACGTTGCAGACAGTCTGTTTGGGGGTTTAGGATATAGAAGAAGTAACTCTGCGTGATTGGTGAGCTCTTCCTTTTAGGGGCGATTCGCAAAGTCTAGGTTAGCATCTTCGTAAAGGTATACTGGGGCTCGTTTGGTCGATCGCGGCAGCCAAGGTTTATAGGTGCAGCCTATATGCGCTTGTGACAATTGGCAATAGACCATTATCATGTTGCGGCCATCTTGATTTTTCCCATTCAAATCAACGTAATCAAAGCGAGGCTGGAAGGAAAATAGTCTGGCTCCTTTTTGCACAAAAATATTACCAGTCAGTACCGTTATTGAATACAGGACCTGGGAACATGACTGAAATATGGCAGCAGCATAAAGGTATATCCGGGAAGGATGTGGTGGGCTGGTTGGAAAACCCGAGATCCTAGAAGATATAGGAAGTCTGCGATATAATAGTTTCATGAAGTTGAATTTCTAAATTCGACTCCTGAATGTCTGGTCAACATTCCTGCTTACTATGACCTGTGATGATTTGATTACAACCATGCAAACTAGGGCAGACAGAGTAGCATCTGCTGGCCGCGCACTTTGTCATCGTAATGATGACTGTCATAAGTTACGACGGCAAGCGGCTTAGCGCATCCTTCGGGTATCGAAATATCATCAAAGGAGTTTTCGAAGCAAGTCGTGTATCTCCTCGATTCGTCGTAGTCCCAACTCGCTTCAGAGTCGACGGATTCGCACCATCGATACTTCCCATCACAGTCGTCTGGGAATTAGAGACAGAAAGAAAAAAGGGAAGAAGACTCTAAGCCGACAATGATGCAGGGTGGCGGTTCGGTTTCTCATGCATCTTCTGATTTATAGTCCATATACTAATGCCTTGCTGCCGAAAACACAAACCATAAGCTTTACAAAAGTGGTTTCCTTCCAAAATCATGAAGATAAATTAAGAAGTGTAGCCCTCATTGGCCTTATTCGCGAGTCGGCCATGTTGAATTGAAAGTGAGGTAAAATCTTCATTTTTGGAACTTGCGAAGTGAAATGAAAGCAAGTACATAAATAATTGAAGTCTACTTAAATGAATAATTTAAAATCTGTTATTTAATATTCCCTAATGTTTTAAGACAGATTGTTTAAAAAAAAAATGAAAGTAAAATAAGGCTGCATAAATGGTCTGGCGCCATCCCATTCAACAGATAACAATTTGTGAAATGCATTCAGGGAACACGACAAAAATGCCTAACTCGTGAATAAGGTCCATTGGGATTAAATCTGGGGTCAATAATTAATACTATCGGAAGTCGCGTTTATATCAACCAGTCCAGGCCTTTTGACAAGACGCAAGCGTGACTTTGGAATTCAAAATCGACTGCCGAAAGGTCAGGTGAATGATCGGACTATACACAGTGTAACTGGGTGATATGACGGCACAAAATTGAGACAAAATTCGAGGCTGCTCTTTTAACAAAGACACTCTCAGTCAGGCAGTGGCGTAGCCACCGGGGGGGGGGGGGGGGCGACCGCCCCCCCCCCCCCATGAAACCTTGTGGCCCCCCCCCCCCCCCACTGAGATTTTGAGTTTCTAAAAAAAATTATCATTGATCTAAATCTAAATAGTTGCGAATGATCCACATGATGACCACTGAGAAACGACCCTTCGACCGGCGACCGCGGACCAGTAAGCTGACAACCGGCGTGACATAGCACATAATGATAATCTAAAATGCGTATTAACACCCACTGCACTGCTCGCTCACACCACGGAACACGTATTTTAGATAGGTGGTCCGTGGGTCACACAGTTTCAGTCAGCGATATCATAAAAGCTAAAATAATAATAATAGACCAATTAAAATTCCCTGAAATCAGTGGCGTAGCCACGGGGGGGGGGGCTGGGGGGGGCCTGGGGAGCTACAGCCCCCCCCCCCCATGAAACTTTGTCGCCCCCCCCCCCCCGTCGCGCCCCCCCCCCCCCCACTGAGATTTTGAGTTTCTAAAAAAATTATCCTTGATCTACATGACGCCATGGGCGTCAATCCTGGGTGGACAGGGGGACTGTGGGGGGGGGGGTTGAAGGGTGGGGGACACAATATCAAATGTCCCGCCCCCCCCCCCCCCAGATTTTTGAACTCGTGTCTCATTTACAGGGCCCTATTATGTACTACAATGTATCTTTTGCTTAGAAAATTTTGGTTAAAGTGGTCAGAAATTGCCTCAGATAGCACCATAGAGCATTTAGAATCCAAAATTTTTCGGGCCCCCGAACCCCACGTCTATAGCTCAGAATTCTGGTAGCAAATTCAATGACTCCAACCTCGAAAACAATGTTCCAAAAATTTCGTATGCCTTTAGCTGGGAAAACTTCGAAAATTATGTTTAAATTATTATCTTTTGTGCTAAGATAATTATTGGTTAAAGTGGTAAGAAATTGCCTCAGATCACACCACAGAGTATCGAGAATCCAAAACTTTTTTCGGGGCCCTTAAGCGGGCCCCGAACCCCACGCCTATAGCTCAGAATACCGATAGCTGATTCAATGACTCCAACCTCGAAAACGATGTTCAAATAATTATCTTTTGCTAAGAAAATATTAGTTAAAGCATGGAGGAAAGTGGTAAGAAATTGCTTCAGATCACACCACAGAACATCTAGAATCCATTTTTTTTCGGGGCCCTTAAGCGGGCCCCGAACCCCCACGCCGTAAGGGCTTCGCGCTTCGCGCTTCGCGCTCGCATCAGTTCTGATCAAGGTATGTCCCCCCCCCCCACTTTTGAGAAGCGATTGACGCCCCTACATGACGCCCCCCCATGAAATGTCCCCCCCCCCCGAAAAATTCCTGGCTACGCCACTGCAGTCAGGTCGTTACAGTTGAGGTTGCACAGGTCTTTTTTTGTGATCCATCCAAATACATCCTGCCACGCAGGCCTGTCTTTTAGCAAAGTCAATGTAAAGGAACCAATCTGCACTTACCCTGAAAAAATCTCCAGTCTCTGCTTTGTATCCCTTCTCGAACACCGACCTGGAGTTTGTAAGGGTTCTTCGTGTATTCGAAAGCTGCAAATGATAATCGCAGTATGTACATGCGTGAGCTTAACGTTAAACAATAATAATGCACAAGGGCGTTTTGAGAGCTTGTTGGCGGTTTATACATTTAGATCTTTCACGTATTAGCCATAGGCACATTTGACTTCATATTGTTCACACCACAATCGCTTATCCCTTTGAACCTAGGCGTCATTTTGTTACTTACTTGTCAAGCTGGAATATGATCATTCACCAGCTCAATAATTATTTAATCAATTTGATGGCCAATTTAAAATGGCAAAGACACAGCTTTAAACAAAAATGGTTATTGAAATGTGGTCATTCTTAAAGTAAATGGCAATGAAACAGCACGCTTGAACAATTACGGTTAGTAACATCGCCACCGTTGGTCACATCTTGATCACGGCAGTATAGCTTAGGTTAATTTCGTCTCAAAGCCTGTTACCGATCCAACAATTCACAGTATCAAACCCATGGACAGATTTCCTGTTGCCCTATCAGGTCTAATGCATACCATATTTGAGCATCAGTGTTACTTACCTGCTAAGACCTCGTGACTATAGAGGGGCAGAATAAAAAAGTGTTGACACAAATCCATAGCGTCGTTGCATTTCATATTGATGAGACTGAATCCCTGATTTGAGGAGAGAAACAAAAGTATATGAGATGTAACTTTCTTCAAGTTATAGACCTATTTCAAGTTAAACTAGGTACCACTCTAGAATAGTTACCAGATTTGCACCAGATTGGTTACTGTTTTTAGCTTCCCAGTTACTCTCCACTTGACTGATAAGCATCAGACATGAAAACAGGATTCGGAGCATTTTGGCGACTGATCAGTATCAAATCTGGCCATATGAAAACTGAGCACCTAACACCGATGTGTACCGTATAAATGCTGGGCCAGCTTGAATTTTTTATAAAGAATTACTGGCATTAATTATTTGTGATTTAAGGGCTATATCAGCGTAGCTTGTCCGTGAATACCCTGTGTTAATCTGGAAGTTACTTGTACATTCTAATACAATAATTGAAGGGAAATTGCATAATTCACTGCGATAATTATACAGAGTTATGAATTTGTTTCCTAGTCCATTGTACTTTGTCGTTGTTTTTTTAAGCAAATTACCATAATCTTATTCAAAAGATTTAGTATTGCAATGATTTAGTGATTCATATCGCGGATAGCTAAATATACATGCCAATAAGAGTTTTTCGGTAAAGAAAACCTAAATGTCAGGAGCATATATAAGTTACAGAATTTTAACACTGTTTTAAACTTCTGTCCATGCACAGATCACAAAAAAAAGGTTAGTGTTCTTTCAGGAAAACGAAAACAATTCACACACATCCCAATGTGATTTTTTTCGTTTTGCTGATGAAAGAACATTTACCTTTTTGTGATCCTTGGAATTAACCTTAAAACGGTTTTTGTGTTCAATATTCCGTATATAACATGAAAGGTACACATATGTGTTTTGAATGATTCTTGTACTAAACGAAAGCTTATTGATTGGGCTTTGATATCCTACATTTAGAAAGTGCTACATGCAGAACTTAATTAAATAATTGGTCCTGCCATTTGTGTTTCATTTTTTATACTCACACTGTACTTGCACTGCGACAAAACAGTACGCGTGTAGGCACATTATTGTTTATGTCCCATTGGGAAATAGACCGCTCCCTCAGTCAAGCCACGCCCATGATGTTTTGCAGGCCCGGATTATCCAATAGACACAGAGTAGGCACTGTGTCTAGGGCCTACGAAAATATCCGGGGCCTACGAAAAATTCGGGAGCCTACGAAAATACCGCAATGTGCCATAAAATTAATTATAGGCCTATATATACCCGCACCCACGCTTACACAGGCATAGAAGTGGGGTACTTCCTTTGTTCTCGTGTACTAAAATTTTGAAATGTCGCACACTAATTTCAAAATGCTCTTATTTTAACCAGAATTAATTTCCTGGGCTGAAATTCGGACTTAATATCCCTTTTTCTAAAACTCTTCCATTAGCAACCAATCAACCCACCTTGGAAATTCCTAGTTTTTGAGTAAAATCCATATATCTATTTCGTGAAAAACTTGTGGGTACCAAAATGGTACCCCGCAAGTCGGTGGGCATTCCTTGTTGGGTACCTTCCATTGTTCCGGTACCCCATATAAGGCAGTGTTTATACGTTCACACACACCCACACCCACAGTTTTAAAAAACGATTTCACCAACTGGCGCGGCGCCGTAAAATGTACATCACGTAAGCATACATGACCTACGTATACAATGTACGTGTAAAGTCTGTGCTTCTGAAGCACGGTGCCAACCATGGGCGTCGATTGGTGGGGGACGGAGGGGCATGTCGTCGTCTTCAAGCTATTTTCGTCCCCGAATAAAACATTGTAAACTTCATATTTTGATTCTATAGCTCAGAACAGCTGGTTTTAAGTACTCCAAACTCGAAAATGATGATGTTCTTTTGCTAAACAAAAGTTGGTTAAAGTGGTCATAATTGTCTCAGATGTCACCACAGAGTGTCTAGAATCCAAGGGTTTTTCAGGGCTCTTAAGCGGGCCCCCAACCCCACGCCGTTTAGGCTTCGCACTCGCATTAGTTCTGATCAAGAGACAGTGCCACCTCCACTTTTGAGAAGCAATTGACGCCCTTGGTGCCAACAGGCTTTTAGAGCTAGGACCCGGGTCCTGACCTGATGTGTACAGTGCGTTGTACCTTGAATTTGGTTCCGGTGGCTAGAGCGGATCGGCCTACGGAACACTGGTGCCTAGAGCCTACGAAACACCTAATCCGGGCCTGATGTTTTGACCAATCACGGTTCTGATTGCAGCACTCACTAATATAATAATAATATCCTACAGAAGTTTGCCCTACATGCACGTTTGTAAATGGTGTGCTAGTTCACTGACTTTGTCAGTAGGTTTATAAATCATTTTATTAATAATTATTACTCGGTCATATTTTTACGCCAGTGTGGAAATTGAAGACCGGGACATTTCAGACCGGGTAATTTCAAACACTGTAATATAATTTCGGGTAAGTAAATATTCTGAATCCTATAGGAAAAAAAAAACTGAAGTCACAATGTTTGCAGTACAGCTAGGTTATTCCACTGGAAACATGATGGACAATATGCATCTCACACGGAGATCGCGTGTGGGGCTATTGTGAAATGTAATCGGCAACTTTTTTCTGACATTAGGAAGGGCTGATGCCGCTTCACAAAATCTTGTGTAGGAAGTACGCATGGCATTATGGGTATCTCATCAGCAGCGCTGCATGCTACGTCACAGGTCACGCAAAATCTATCAAAATAGCTCGAAGAAATCAGCCCTTCCCTGCGTCCTGTTTTCCGGAGGGGGGGGGGTACGAGCGAAGGCGCCCTACATCTAACAGCGCTTAATTGTATGGCAAACTTTAATATGTGGGATATTCTGGTGTTGTATGTTTCTCGGTTCGAGTATATGCCAACCGCTGCACCTCTTGCACTTTGCAACATAAAACAGTACATTGGAACTGAAGAACAAAGCAGCTGGCATTTGAAGATGTATTACCTTGAATTGTGCATTTAATTACTCGAAAGCTATTGCTTATTCGACAAATATCATAAAAGACATTTACATTAGCATATTAATGCAAAAACAATCCCGACTCATAAATCATTGAGTAATTAATAAACGGCATATATACGGCACACATCGGTGCATGGTCCTCAGGTTTCACGTACAATTTGGCCAGAGCTGTTGAACTGATCAGTCGCGAAAATGCTCCGCATCCTGCTTGCCTGTCTGATGCTTGTCGTCAGTGGAGTGGAGAGTAACTGGAATGCCGGAGAAAGCGATTCATCAAAAGCAAAAATGGTAACTACAGGGTGAGTCAAAAAAAGCGGAAACCAAACCCCCAAACTATATTTCATATTTAAAAAAATATGTATCACCGAAAATAATACTAACTGGAAAGCCAATTACACAAGCTACTTTTAGATGAAAAATGACTGAAATTGCTCAATACGTTCAAAGAATATCACCATAAACACAATGACCCTTAAACCTCTTTCGTCAAAAAAAGCGATTCCAAGAATCGTCGTCCGAATTGTCTTCAAACATCACCAGCGATAAAACCTCAATTGAAAAGTTAAAAATATTACACATTAAGTCTTTTCGAAGGCCCGTCTTTTAATAAAGTGGATTTTAAAAATATGTTTTGCCTAACAAGGGTCATTCATAAAGATATTGTGTACTACAGTTGTTGACAGTTGTTGAAACAAGTTTTCTTTGTTGTTCCAAATAGTCAGAATACACAATAAATTGCTCCCTTTTTTGGACGAAACAGGATTTAGGTTTATTGCGTTTAAATGGTGATATTATTTGAACGGATTATTAATTTCAGTATTTTTTTCATCTAAAAGTAGCTTATGAAATTGGCTTTCCAGTCATTACTATTTTTGGTGCTTCATAATTTTTTTTTTTTAATATGAAACATATTTTTTGGGGGGGGGTTTGGGTTTCTCTGTTTTTGACTCACCCTGTACATGTATTATCCTGCCGCATATTGTCTAACGTATAAAGTCCCAACAAAAGAAAGTTACATTCCCTTTCTTTGATTTTCCCACCGCCAATCAGGGATTCAGTCGCATCGATATGACATGCAACGACGCTGAGGATGTGTGTCAACACTGTGTCATAATGCCCCTCTTTGGACACGAGTTCTTAATGGGTATGTATCCACACTTGATGGGTAAATTAAGCCTTGGGCAACATAAATCAGTCCGTGGACAGGGTGAGTAAAAAAAAAAAAAAACCAAATGTCAGGACCAATTTTTGAATGAAGTTTTTCCTGCAGCACTTTCAAAATCTAGGATATAAAAATCCAATCAATAAGCTTTCGTTTAATACAAGAATCATTCAAATCATTCATGTACTTTTCAAGTTACGGAATTTCGAACACAAACACCGCTTTAAAGTTCTGTCCACGGATCATAAAACAGGTGAGTGTTCTTTCATCAAACTGAAAAGAATTCTCATAGGGATCGAATTGTTTTCGTTTTGCTGAAAGAACACTTAATTTTTTGTGATCTGTGGACAGAACTTTAAAACGGTGTTTGTGTTCAGTGATTTGAATTATTGTTGTTCTAAAAGAAAGCTTAAGCATTCTAGTTGCGATTAGAATCAAAACTATAGACATTTGGTGTGGTTATTGGAAACGACCAAAATGCCCGAAGAGCAAATGAGCCTATATGCCTATATAGAACTGGCAAAAATGTTTTTGTATAAAAACAGAAACAATTTCCAAAGATGCCTGGAACACCATTGAGTGGAACCAATGGTTTAATCCATGAATGGTGTCTACCATTCAGTGAATCCAATGGTGTTATCAGCGGTACAAAATGGTAAACTCTATGGTATTCCAATGGTAGCATTCCAAAACACCATCGCAATGGTAACCAATGGTATTAATCAAAAGTTATTGCCATTGGTAAACCATTGTCTCAATCAGTTGTAAATTGAATGGTAATTCTCAGTGATAAAACCATTGATTTTATTTTTGTAAGAAAAGGATTCAGACAAATCACAGCACGCAAACAATTCTATCACGAATGACGTTCCCGTCATAGCGAAAGCATAAAACTTCCGTGACTCAATTGTGGTATGCAACAGTGCACAATATTGAACTGTTGAAGGTCTCATGCGTGATCACGTGCCTGGATTCGTGTATTAAAGCAACATTCTCTTCTTTGATTTACATGAAAGATATAGACGTTAACCCACCGAGCGTATAAGAAGCCCTAATGCAATATTTCTTTTAAATTAAGCCCGTGTTCTGCGATTGTTATTTGCAGTTACCGAATACACGAAGGATCCTTACAAACTCCAGGTCAGTATCCGAGAAGGAAGACAATCCAGAGACTGGACCTTTTCTCAAGGTACGTGCGCATCGGTCCCTTTGCACTGGCTATATTGGGAAAAGGCTGTGTTAGCAGGTTCGCAGCTACTTGGATGACCCATTGCTTTGCAAACACAACAGCCTCGTTTTGATTTCAACTTGGCGATCACCTTATATTTTATTTTTCAACAAAATTATATCAAATGAGAGCTGGAAAGACGATTAGCCCTTGACCCGTCGCCCTGTGTTAGGGCGGCCGCGGAGGAATGAGAAAAGCGGGAAAAGGCAGAAAAGATCAAGTTAGACCCAGTGGCGGTTCTAGGGGGGGGGGCCTAGGGGGGCTTTACCCCAAAAAAAATTTGTCAAGCCCCCCCCCAAAAAAAAAAAATCCATAAAAAAAACAATTGCACCAGCAAAATGTACTCCCCCTAAATAAATAGTCGTGAGAATGGTGCATTTGTACAGTATTAGTTAATGTAGCGCTCTCAACTGAAAATATGGCACGAGCGGGAGAGGGAGTACCCTGTTCATACGCACTAAAGGACTGTTGCAGGCGGATTCTTAGCTATTTGGAATTGGAGACGCAGTGTCAGATCATGAGGCCTTCGCTGATGACAAAGGCAAGCTCCGATATAAGGTTAACCAGTTCGTTTTTCATGGCGAAACCAACTCCATGAATCTTTAGTTGGTCCTCCAGTTTGCATTTCCAAAAGAAGGTGTATGTCACCCCTTTTCCTTCAGTTGGCATTCGGCTCATTCTTCGTTAAAGTGTTCAAGTTGGAACTAGGACTTTACAAAATATCAACTACAATGAATATATAAAAACTGCTCAAAATCGTAAAGTTTAATAGCTCCAGGACATGGAACAAAACAGTACTGATTTTTAACTAAACCATATTTTTTGAAATAAATACTTGAAATTTAACCTTCTAAAACGTGTTTTAACAGATACGTTACCACTATTTTATTTATAGAAAAGTTGTCTTTGAAACAAAAACTGGGGAGGCTTAAGTCAATATGAATTTCGGAGCTACACATTGTGAAAGACAGACTAAAAATAGAGGGATTTGAGTGACAGTATTTGACAGGTACATTGGAAACATCGTGTTTTTTTCTAGATTGTGAAAACAAGACACATAAATTGTCTGTCTCGATTTGCTATGCACATAATTTCAGTTGCTACATCTATCACTTTGCATGTTGCAATTTCGCATTTATTTGCCATTAACTAATAATTAGTCATTATCATTTCGATGAACAGGTAATTATACGAATATTTCCCATGAGATTGAGATAGTGAGATCCACAATGCCAGGCTGCTTTGGTAACATCTGGCAAATCAGATTTATAATTAAAACACCATATACGGGATGACGCAGTAAGCAGCACTTACACAAAACTTTATAGCAGCTGCTGTAATCAATCATATTATAATGATGTTATTGAAAACGCCACGCGCTCCATACACCAAAGTTGTTGTCAAAATATAAAAATCTGTACACCCTGTAAACGAACAGTCAGAACCCGACAATTAAAAAAAACACAAGAAAAGTCGAGTTTGCATTGTTTAACACAGCAGAAATGATCCCAATTTCGTCGCTCTACGTTATAATGTGCATTTGATGAACACATGGAATAAAACAAAGGCGATTTTTAACAAATGTTTTTATTTTGGGGGGAAAATAACTACTTGAAGTTAAGTCTTCTAAACGTGGTGTAACGATCTACCAGATACGTTACCACAAGTCCACTTCAATAAATTCATGTCTTTAAATAAGATTATGTAGATATTTTAAGTAGATGTGAATTTCATTGGTACACATTGTGACAGACAGACTGAAATAAAAGGTTTCGTTGATTCTGTTTGTCAACAAAAAAACATCATTAATCGTTAAAAAAAAAGAACTACTGAAGTATATAATTCAAGGACCATAATGCAGGGCGGATCCAGGAATTTTTGCAGGGGGGTCGGCCTTTCAGATATTTTTTTTGTATACCAATGTTGCGTTTTTTGGGGGGGGGGTCAGAGCATAACGGGGGGGGGGGATCGAGACCGTGGGTTTGGATCCGCGCCTGCGTTTAGAATATCATCTTGTTCTATTATTACGGTTATAATTTTTTTTTTTTTCATTTTCGGGGGGTCAGAGCAGGGGATATAAATTATACGGAATAATCATGTGAAGTTTTGTTCGCGTGATATGTTTTGCGCATGCATATCACGGTTAATGACTTTACTAAAATGCAACTAGTGCATCCCCTGGCAAACAATCCTGATCAACTATGACCAAATGATTTAAAATTGAATTCAGGCACACATGATGGAGGTCAGAGTTTCCTTTTCCCAAGTGTGTTGAGCTGCCCCACCTCCCACCCCTAAGTTTACCCCAACCAACCCACCTACACTACCACCCGAACCCTCGAAACCATCATTTAAGTGTCCCTGTTGCTTAGAGATAATGTCTGAACAATACATTTAATTGTATCATCTTAGCTACGCTCGCAAATTAAAGATTGATATTTGAACAGATACGTTACCGAGCTCATCAGATACGTTACCAGGCTGATCAGATACGTTACCATAATAAACTAAGATATTCTATGTAAACCAACAACGATGGTTTCATGTTATCAAGTTTTGTGCAATTACAACCCCTCACTTCCTAAAATCTTTATCTACAGATTCTACAAGTTACATATTTTACCATTAAAAAAACATTGTATGATGCTACTCTAAACTTTAAGAATATTCGACAGAAATTCAGCACAACATTACAATCCTTCTCGGCAAGCATGCGCTCTATGAATCACAATTAAATGTGTTAAGAAACTTTAAAACGTGTAGACAGCGTGGGAATCGATGACGTAGCTCATGTTTGTTGACGTCAGCATAACATTTGCATGATGAATTCATAATCAGTAACGTATCTGGTGTAACGTATCTGGTGTAACGTATCTGGCCCGCTCATGTTGAAATAGGCTTCCCTTGACAAACTGTGTGACCTTAACTACTTCTTCCGCCACTTGATCAGTCATCACCCAACACACTGTTGACTGGTATGGTGTTTGAGGTCAGCTTCCTTCACGTGTCTCGAAAGGAAAGGCAAAAATAGGTAACGTATCTGGCGCTACACATACGTAACACATGGATTTTTTTCGTTGACAGTTCTAAAAAAATTCAAATTAAAAATGTATTAGATTCATGCCATTTGTACAATATAATACCCAGTTTGGTCTAGTCTGTAAGCAACTTCAACGTGCATATTCCTGAAATTTTAAGTCTGTTTATCGTTTCGAAAAAAATAGTAACGTATCTGGTTATGAAATTGGCGACATGCGCTCTGAAGGCGCTCAAGTAAAATTAATGAGCCAATCTTTTTCGATTTGTCATTGTATATTTAGGGCATACTATGGACTAATAATATAAAAGGGTAATCATTGATATGCACACATGGAAGACGAATGGGAGACTTTTTAAAAAAGGCACCTTGGATGGCGACATGAAAAAACCGCAACAAATACCACTTTACCGTCACAATTTCTAAGATGTTCTTGATTTTTGTTACCTTCTTACTACATGGGTTTATGAAACAAAACTTAGTCTCGAAGAAAATTAATATAAATCATTATCGAATTAGCCCCCTCCCTGTCTAGGATGAGCAGAGTGGATCCTAAACAGGGCTACTCAGTAGCGGAGCAATTGAGCTGTCGCATCCCTCTCCTGTTCCTGTCCAAAACGATGGCAGGACTGAATCACAACCATTGCTGCACTACAGGAACACTGTAGCAATGCACAACCAAAGCTGCATTACAGGAACACTGTAGCCAATGCTGCACTGCCTGAACGATAGTATCGCATTGCATAGCTCAGTGCCACTGTGGAGATATGGTTCGCGCGCACGTAGCACTACGAAACCATGGGCCCAGCCCAAATCAACCACAATGCACCCGCGCGTGAACGGCTGAACAGTCCAACAATTCACCCGCGCGTAGCAAATAGCGCAATTCACCATATAGCAATACACACCACAGCGAGAGCACCCTCAACTCACGTTCGTACAGCTCACTGCCACTTGCCAGAACCTCCGCGCGTACACGTGTACGTACAATAACATGTACATGTGCATAAACACTACACTTTCCGTCACACTATTGGTCTGGGTCCTCCCCTCGACCTTAACGCCTAGGGCGGCCCTGCCAGTAGCACCAAGACTACCGACGGCACTGCTCTTTGGTCGGGACCGTATCTTAAGTCCGACGCCTCATAGGTCCGACGGTTCGGACTTATGAGGCGTCGGACTTATGAGGCATAAATTCCGCCTCATAGGTCCGACGCCTCATATTAAGTCCAACGCCTCATAAGTTCGACAATGGACAAACGCTGTTTTGGACTTATGAGGCGTCGGAGCTATGAGGCGTCGGACTTATGAGGCGTCGGACTTATGAGGCATCAATTCCCCCTCATAGGTCCGACGCCTCATATTAAGTGCGACGCAAAGTCCGACAATGGACAAACGCTGTTTCGGACTTATGAGGCGTCGGACCTATGAGGCATCGGACTTATGAGCGGACCCCTTTGGATCCACGGGACACACAAACCCTTCCACAACGACAAAGTTGCAATCCTCAGAAGAATTGCAATCCGGTTCGTTAGTAAAAACGTCATTCACGCGCGCACACCACTGATTACTAGCGCCCATTGGCTGCAAACGCTCGAGCTGCGTTAACTTCCGGTTCCAATCGTGCAGAAAGTGCTGGAGGTGACGTCACACTAACGAACCGGATATGGACTACTCAGAAGATGAAACCGGAATCACTCTAGGAAAAATCGCGACCACGCATTATTGACATACTATTATCATTAATTCGTTGGCTAATTGTTAACTAACTTCTTTCTTTTCTACGTTATCTCCAGACGACCTAGCTGGAAAGTATCGGTGGTGCGAATCCACCTACGGGAAGCCAATTGGGACTACGACGCCTCATGGAGATACACCATTTGCTACGAAAACATCTTTGATGATATCTCCGTACCCGAAGATTGCGCTAAGCCTCTGGCCGTCGTAACGCATGAAAGTCACTATTACGATGACGAAGTGCGCGGCCAGCAGATGCTGTTTTGCCTGCCCTAGTTTGCATGGTTGTAATCAATGATTAAGTCATCACAAGTCATAGCAAGCAATTGTGCGCAGCGGTAGACAAAACATACTGGAGTCGCATTTATTAATTCAACTTGAAACCATAACCGACTTCCGTGGGACCCTTTTTTGTTTGTTGGTTTCCCGGCCCACACCAATTCTACCATTGCCGATTGTCTGTTCACCTAACCCGAAGGCCACAACATAGGCGACACATATTATAATATAAGCCTTGGCAAGGGCGGATCCAGGGGGCCCCAAACAAAACAATTTTTTTAAAGTGGCGTCAAATCAAAGGCAGGCACTGCGTACACCACCATCTATTCCTCCCAAAGATTTAGTTAAAGTGATCAGAAATAGCTTCAGATTGCACCACAGAGCATCTATAATCCAATTTTTTTCAGGGCCCTTAATAAGCGGTCCCCGAACCCCACGCCGTCATTTTTGGGAGACACTTTTGGAAGACCAAAATTTGTTTGCCCCCCCCCCCAAAAAAAAAAATTGTGTTCTGGATCCGCCCTTGAGCGTTGGTTGCTAAGATCAGCAAAAATCAGCCCCGTTCCCTATAAGGCCAAAAAAAGTCTCCGGTTTCTTGTATAGAGCTTGCCCAAAAAGTGGTGCGGCGACGCGGCTTTTTTTTACCTGATTTTTTTTTGCTTCAAATGTCGGTTGATGACTGCAAAATGGTGCCCGACTAAACTTTAATAGTGCAAATATATGGTAGTCCACAGAGGCCACATAAAGCTTATTCTCTATCATAACTCCATCTAAAAACACCTTAAAATTGTGCTGCAGCAGGATTTCAGTCAAACCAGTGAGTTTGGCGGTTTTGAGACATCATCTTTTATTGAAAAAAAAATTTTTTTTCATTTTGCCGACGCGCAAGGCTACGGCGACGCGCGCGCATACCAGAAACCGGAGACTTTTTTTGTTTGGCCTATCGAAGACGTTAACCTGGACTTTGCAGATAGTCGATTCCAAACTGGCCAAACTTATGTTCAACCCTTAAGTTTGATAAAGCATAGCGTTCGTTACAAAGATAATTTGAAAATATTCCAAAAACTCACCTGCAATATACCTTTATTAATTTGTTTTCGACTGATAGGCTTTTTTTGTGGGACAAGCAGTAGGTAGAGCTTTTTTCACGCTAAATTACTGTGGGTCAGATATTATCAAAAACTTCCGTTTACTAATAACCGAACAGGCTGTCTGCGACTTGTGATTTGACTTGTGATTGGCTTGTGACTGGATTACGACTCTGCTCGTTTGACATATTCGGCCCCATCAGGGTCATATTTGGCGAATTATAAAGGGGCCATACTTTTATTACTATTGCTTAAGTGGGATAGTTTGGGGAATTAAAGTGCAAATTATAGGCTACGTTATGAAACAATAATGTGATACCAATTTTCGTGCTACATAAGTATGGGAGATTTAACAAACGTTTGTTTTTTTTGTCTTTTGTTTCTTGTAGTTATTTCGATACTCATTTCCACTTAATGGATAATAGATAATCCGCATATTGGATGGATTCAGAGATGTTCATTACAGCATATACACTGGCGCAGAGGCGGCGGAAAGGGGGGGGGGGGTTATGGGGGCATTTCCCCCCCCCCCAGATTTTCCCAGGCCAACAAAAGTGCCCCTCTTAGAGTTACAAATGTGCCCCCTCGAAATGAAAACAAAACTGCCCCTCGAACGTACAGGTATGAAAGCATAATGATCGCGCTACAAATGCATTTGTCTTCTCTCTTGTAATGCAAAACTTCCCCTCAAAACAGAAGTACCCCTCTCGCATTAACAAGATTGTGCACCTAGCTCTAGATGGAAAACTACCCCTCGAAAGCACAAATACCGCTCTCGAAATAATGAACTTGTGCCCCTCTCGAGAAGGAAAACGTACCATCAAAAACAATAGTGCTCCTCTCGCTATAACTTCTCGAGATGGAAAACTGCCATTCGAAAGCATAGTGCCCCGCTCGCGACATTAAAATTGTGGACCCCCTCTCAAGATTGAAAACTGGCCCCTAAAAACAGTACTGCTCTGCACGTGAAGAAAATTGTCACTAAACTGGCCATCAAAAGCAGCAGTGCCCCTCTCGCGAAAAAAAATGATCTCTTTACATAACTAGGTAAATAAAAACACAAAGGAAAACAACAAAAAATAAACCAGCACATACCGATATATAGAATTAGAGTAGATAAGATACATATTGTGATTAATAATTTATACTTATTGGGTACTAATTTTGAAGCAACGTCCTTAAAAGGAATATACATCATTTGCTTTTGCTGTAATTTTCAGAAATGGATGGAAATGGGGGTTGGAAATATATAGCAAATATAGTTACACTGACTTTTTTTGAGGTTTTGGGTTCGAAAATGCTATAAAAACCAAGAAAACAATCATTTTCCTGTAGTCTGGTTCCCTGACTCCATATAAGAAGAAACAGGGCAGTTTACGTACATTTGGGAATTGTAAGGTCAGGGAACCAGTCTAGCTGGCTTGTACCCGTTCATAGGTGTGTAATCGATTGCAAACAAGTGCGATGGTCACTTGGGGCCAGTATTTGAAAAAAGCCAATTTTTTTCCGACGCTGGTCGGCCGACCAGCGTTGGAAATTGATACAAAAATACCACTTTTCTTGAAAATGACAGTATATCAGGTGCCATTATTTTACAGGATGCTTTACACTGTCATTCACTAACAGTCCAGCAAGGTATTTCAAAATGATTTGGTAGTTTTATTTTTTTGATGTCTGCAAATGTTGTATTTTCCCTTTAAGAGAATTTTACAATTTTTTTCTTCTTTATTGAAGCATAATTACGATGGACGTCTTTCTTTCATATCGTCATTGGTGTTTCCCATCATGTTGCTTGATTGTATTCTATTTAATATATTAAATTTAATATTTAATTTCAAACTATTTCATCAAATTAAAACGAACTCACCATTTAAAATTAATAAACGTTTATTAATACATACAATTATACTTTGGTGGAGGTCAAACTCGATGTGCACCAAAATGTTAAATAAATATTGGTGTTCTCTAACTCGTCCGTCAGATTATCCATCATTTTGTCATTCTTAAAGTTTTAGTCGCTATTTTACATTCACATGTAGTGTGTCTCTCGTTAATGTGGCCCCTTGTTAAAGCGAAATGCATTTACCTGAATTGTGCTATACATTAAAATAATTAGGAACGTGAAGAACGTCCTCAAATTACCCGTTGTACTGCATTATCTGACAGAACGGTTAATCATAGAAGAGTTTGTATGACAACCCAATGCATATTGGAGGTAAATTAGCAGCGACTACGGTTTAAATCATGATTGGTGTGTGTGGGGACCGCTTCCTTCGGAAACCGCGCCAAATATTTCCATTTAACATGAGCAGATCTGGAATGTTCTCAAAGGGGTTCAGCTGCCGGTCTGCTTAAGGAAACACTAGTCTAAGAAAATCTAGAAAATATGTATAGTTTTTGTTTGTGGAGCAAACAGGATCGCGCACGGCAGCCTCGGTAATGGGAACCAACATGGCGCACAGCGAGATCGTACCCATGGGGAACGAGGTTGCCACAGACCTTGAGGTTCTAGGGGTGATGCCTGGTCCAGTCCAACCAAATTAATAGCTCGTTGTTGGATCCTATCAAGAAGGGGGGAGCAGTCTGAAGCACTAGCTCAGATATGACTGCATGTATTCCTACTGCAAAATGGTAATAACGTTTACCACTATAACGTGAAGTTTGTGTGGTGATGAGCTTCGATTTTCACTGAATTCGAAGGCATCACAGCACTTATCAAAAAACACGATCAAGGCGCCTACACCAAGCACGGACAAATAGTTCGAAGTCTGAGAGAAATAACTTGTGAAGTTAACGGGATTTCAACTCTCTTTTCAAGATGTCCAGGGATGTTATTTCACGACTGTCTAGTCAGGACAGGGAGCCTTTATTCAAAAACGGCAGGTGCTGCCTTGGCGAAGGCACGCTGACCAGAGCAGAGAGTTCTACTAATCCGTTTCCATGTGTCCACATCTGGAGGTTTACTGAACTGAAAGATACTGTACATTAAAATTCAATAATTAAAGATCAACTGCATAATCCACTTTGATGATTATGCAGATAAGTGCATAATTACATGAATTTGTTGCCTTACGAGTAGGCCCTGCAGTTAATTTAACACAAATTACCATACTTTTATTCAATACACTTGTTATTGAATAGTTAAGTGATCCATATGGTGTTTCGCTGACCACAGTTCAATAGGCCTGGGACCTAATGACGTCACGCTTTCTTTACATGTGCGCTTTCCTATGCGTCAGACGGTCCCTACTTTGTCTGGCGTCCCGACTTCGCTCCCATAGGAAATTAAGCGCATATGCAAACAAAGCCATAACGTCATTAGGACTTGGTCTATTAACCGATAGGTTTAGGTTAAGTCAGAGGTAACTGCTTGATAGTCGAATTCAATAAGAGATCGTTTTTTAACATCACAAAAACTTAATCTAGTAAACGTCTTTTATTTGTCGAATAGGCAATGACTGTCTTGAGTACCACTTAAATGCATCGTGCAAGGTATAGAGGCATAAATATTCAAATGCCAAAGAGTAATTAGTGTTTAACCTGGAATGCACTTTTGAGGTTAAGTTCATGAAGTGCAGCGATTTGAGGTATAACAAAACACAGTACGTCAGAACGTATACTTAAAGTTAGACAAAATGCCGCACGAGAGTAGTTACCATTTTTGCTTTCGATGGATCGCTGTTTTCAGCATTCCAGTTACTCTCCATTCGACTGATAAGCATCGGACATAAAGCAGATTTCAGGGCATTGTGGCGACTGGTCAGTTTGCAGTATGTCTGGCTATGAAACTGAGCACGAACACCGATGTGTACCGTATAGTTAACGCGGTTCCACCTTGATTTTAGTAAGTGGTTTTAGGGCTTTATCGTTGGAATTCCTCGGTTTCCCTGTGTCAATCTGGAGGCTACTGGACATTCTAAAGCAATAATTAAAGGTCAATTGCATAATTTCACCACAATAATTATGCAGACCTGTGAATTTCATTTCCATACGAGAACTGTCAAATTACCTAATTTTATTCAAAGGATTTATCATGAGAATGATTAAAGTGAACCATACTTGAACGAAAGGTTGGTCTTGAAGAGATCACTAATTTCATAGTAAGGTAACAATTGATTTGCAAGCCATATATAATACCAAAGGTTTGACTTTAAAACGCCGAGGGCTCGAAACAAATCACAACTCGCCTCATCCCCCATTTTACAATCAACAATAATCAATCTTCTAATAATTAACTCGAAGAAGTAAGTCCTTTGACTGCATACACTCTGGGTATATTGAATGTTATATTCCACCGATAGTGTTCTTCCCTCTGAGCAAAGTGTACAAAGGTGCTGAAGTATTATCCGGCAGCGGTTTGGATATAACATGGATATATTGTGCGTTATTCAACCAAAGCAGAGCAATATGTACGCCATACAGTTATACAAGAATCCAAACGGCCGAAAAACTACATCGAAGGCAGCATACCATCATGAAGCAGTTATAGTGTAGTAACAGTAATAACTCCACGATATATATGTATTTTAACGATGACTGAATTTTAACGATGACTGAACGCTAACATTATAACATTACGCCAAAGAAAGAAACGGAAGACCAAACTTCCTTTAACAATGAACACTACGTATATAGGCTATCATGCATAATCGTTTAAAAAGCTCGTGAAAAGACTCACAGTAAAATATGATTGGATGTGGCATCGTGCCCTGGTATCAGTTGGGTCCTCTTGTCAGTCTGACCACCGAGAAAGTTGAGGCAGTAATGTTCATGTTGACCTTTTGTGTGTTCAAAGGTGGACACTCGCAATTAATTTTCGGATAGTTTGGTAGACCCCATGGGTATAAACCGTACAACTGAATCTTTTGCAATTCCGTCTGAATAGGCGTTCAACGGTAATTTGAAAACGTTCCTCGCGCAATATGAATGGATAACAAAACTTGGGGGATATGATAGCAGTACATTTTCTGTGACTGATACTTTAAGAATGACAAAATGGCGCCGACGGGCGAGTATTGAGAACACCAATATTTATTACAAGGTCCATAGGACTTTACAAATTACCTTGTTATAACAGGTACCTTGTATTAACAATATTGGAAAACAAAGGAAAACAAAGAAAAACAAAGACTTATTACCATGGTTCGACTGTACACATCGAGTTTGACCTCCGACGAAGTGTAATTGTATATATTAATATAAAAAAATTAAAGGTCTATTAATTTTAATTGATGAATTAATTACATTTAATGAATTAATTTTAATTTGACAAGTTAATTTTAAATTCACGAATTAATTTAGATTTGATGAATTAATTTTAACTGATGAATTTCAATTTTAAAATTTACAAGAATAGATGCAATATGATGACAAACATATAAATAACGATGATTGTGAAAGAAAGAACTTCATGGTAACTATGCTTCAACAATTAAAGGAAACAAGAATTTGTACCAATTCTTTTGAGGACGTTGCATGAAAAAATAGTATCCAATACGTATATGTTATTAGTATCGTTTCGGTTTGCGGTAACACCATGTGGTAATAACTACTGCTTAGAAGATATTTAGTTCTGAAAAGAACTTGTCCTGCTTATTATCAACTTCGCTAAGTAGTTTTTTTGTTCTGATAAGAACAGTCCTGCTGTAAGTTCTAAACGAACTTGTCTTTGGTCTCAACGTTTCGACTAGCCTGCTCTAGTCATCGTCAGATTTCATAGATGGAATAGACTTGACGATGACTAGAGCAGGCTAGAGCAAGACAAGTTCGTTTAGAACTTACAGCAGGACTGTTCTTATCAGAACAAAAACTACTTAGCGAAGTTAATAATTAACTCGAAGAAGTAAGTCCTTTGACTGCATACACTCTGGGTATATTGAATGTTATATTCCACCGATAGTGTTCTTCCCTCTGAGCAAAGTGTACAAAGGTGCTGAAGTATTATCCGGCAGCGGTTTGGATATAACATGGATATATTGTGCGTTATTCAACCAAAGCAGAGCAATATGTACGCCATACAGTTATACAAGAATCCAACGGCCGAAAAACTACATCGAAGGCAGCATACCATCATGAAGCAGTTATAGTGTAGTAACAGTAATAACTCCACGATATATATGTATTTTAACGATGACTGAATTTTAACGATGACTGAACGCTAACATTATAACATTACGCCAAAGAAAGAAACGGAAGACCAAACTTCCTTTAACAATGAACACTACGTATATAGGCTATCATGCATAATCGTTTAAAAAGCTCGTGAAAAGACTCACAGTAAAATATGATTGGATGTGGCATCGTGCCCTGGTATCAGTTGGGTCCTCTTGTCAGTCTGACCACCGAGAGTGAGGCAATAATGTTCATGTTGACCTTTTGTGTGTTCAAAGGTGGACACTCGCAATTAATTTTCGGATAGTTTGGTAGACCCCATGGGTATAACCGTACAACTGAATCTTTTGCAATTCCGTCTGAATAGGCGTTCAACGGTAATTTGAAAACGTTCCTCGCGCAATATGAATGGATAACAAAACTTGGGGGATATGATAGCAGTACATTTTCTGTGACTGATACTTTAAGAATGACAAAATGGCGCCGACGGGCGAGTATTGAGAACACCAATATTTATTACAAGGTCCATAGGACTTTACAAATTACCTTGTTATAACAGGTACCTTGTATTAACAATATTGGAAAACAAAGGAAAACAAAGAAAAACAAAGACTTATTACCATGGTTCGACTGTACACATCGAGTTTGACCTCCGACGAAGTGTAATTGTATATATTAATAAAAAAAATTAAAGGTCTATTAATTTTAATTGATGAATTAATTACATTTAATGAATTAATTTTAATTTGACAAGTTAATTTTAAATTCACGAATTAATTTAGATTTGATGAATTAATTTTAACTGATGAATTTCAATTTTAAAATTTACAAGAATAGATGCAATATGATGACAAACATATAAATAACGATGATTGTGAAAGAAAGAACTTCATGGTAACTATGCTTCAACAATTAAAGGAAACAAGAATTTGTACCAATTCTTTTGAGGACGTTGCATGAAAAAATAGTATCCAATACGTATATGTTATTAGTATCGTTTCGGTTTGCGGTAACACCATGTGGTAATAACTACTGCTTAGAAGATATTTAGTTCTGAAAAGAACTTGTCCTGCTTATTATCAACTTCGCTAAGTAGTTTTTTTGTTCTGATAAGAACAGTCCTGCTGTAAGTTCTAAACGAACTTGTCTTTGGTCTCAACGTTTCGACTAGCCTGCTCTAGTCATCGTCAGATTTCATAGATGGAATAGACTTGACGATGACTAGAGCAGGCTAGAGCAAGACAAGTTCGTTTAGAACTTACAGCAGGACTGTTCTTATCAGAACAAAAAACTACTTAGCGAAGTTGATAATAAGCAGGACAAGTTCTTTTCAGAACTAAACATCTTCTAAGCAGTAGTTATTACCACATGGTGTTACCGCAAACCGAAACGATACCGATACTCCACCATGCAAAGCCTCAAATCTTATATATGTTATAAGTAACAATATATATCTAAGCTACTCTCATGTAAAATACCGGTGCGTGCTGGTGTATACAGTGTAAGTTGTATACAGAACTTTATATAGAACTATTTTAAAAATAAATGTAGGCCTACTGAAATTAAATGAATAGACTTGTTAATAAGATGGAATTTAATAGATGGAATAGACTTGTGTATCGGTACATACGTCATTATGCTGTAATGAACATCTCTGAACCCATCCAACGTGCTGATTATCTTTCATCCACCCACAATGATGTGAAATACCGAAATAACTACATGGAAATCGTACTAAATACAACAGCAAAAGTTTGACAACTTATTTTAAAGTACATGTATAGCCTAATCGTTTTCATAACGTCTGTACACTTTAATTCCCAAAACTGGCCCACTTATGCAATTATAATAATAATAATAATAATAATAATAAGACCATTATCATGTTGTGGCCATCTCGATTTTGTCCCATTCAAATCAACCAAAAGCGAGGCTGGAAGGGAAAAATAGGCTGGTTCCTTTTTGCACATAAAACTTATCAGTCAGTACTGTTATTGGATACAGGGAACATGACTGAAATGGTGGCAGCATGATAAAGGTCTATAGCTATAGTATGGCCCCTTCATAACTCGGCAAATGTGACGTGTCTATCTGCTGGGGCTGAACGTTTCAAACAGCAGAGTCGTAATCTATAGTCAATCACAAGTCAATCACACGTTGCAGACAGTCTGTTTGGGGGTTTAGGATATAGAAGAAGTAACTCTGCGTGATTGGTGAGCTCTTCCTTTTAGGGACGATTCGCAAAGTCTAGGTTAGCATCTTCGTAAAGGTATACTGGGGCTCGTTTGGTCGATCGCGGCAGCCAAGGTTTATAGGTGCAGCCTATATGCGCTTGTGACAATTGGCAATAGACCATTATCATGTTGCGGCCATCTTGATTTTTCCCATTCAAATCAACGTAATCAAAGCGAGGCTGGAAGGAAAATAGTCTGGCTCCTTTTTGCACAAAAATATTACCAGTCAGTACCGTTATTGAATACAGGGCCTGGGAACATGACTGAAATATGGCAGCAGCATAAAGGTATATCCGGGAAGGATGTGGTGGGCTGGTCGGAAAACCCCAGATCCTAGAAGATATAGGAAGTCTGCGATATAATAGTTTCATAAATTTGAATTTCTAAATTCGACTCCTGAATGTTTGGTCAACATTCCTGCTTACTATGACCTGTGATGATTTGATTACAACCATGCAAACTAGGGCAGACAGAGCAGCATCTGCTGACCGCGCACTTTGTCATCGTAATGATGACTGTCATAAGTTACGACGGCAAGCGGCTTAGCGCATCCTTCGGGTATCGAAATATCATCAAAGGAGTTTTCGAAGCAAATCGTGTATCTCCACGATTCGTCGTAGTCCCAACTCGCTTCAGAGTCGACGGATTCGCACCATCGATACTTCCCATCACAGTCGTCTGGGAATTAGAGACAGAAAAAAAAAGGGAAGAAGACTCTAAGCCGACAATGATGCAGGGTGGCGGTTCGGTTTCTCATGCATCTTCTGATTTATAGTCCATATACTAATGCCTTGCTGCCGAAAACAAAACCATAAGCTTTACAAAAGTGGTTTCCTTCCAAAATCATGAAGATAAATTAAGAAGTGTAGCCCTCATTGGCCTTATTCGCGAGTCGGCCATGTTGAATTGAAAGTGAGGTAAAATCTTCATTTTTGGAACTTGCGAAGTGAAATGAAAGCAAGTACATAAATAATTGAAGTCTACTTAAATGAATAATTTAAAATCTGTTATTTAATATTCCCTAATGTTTTAAGACAGATTGTTTAAAAAAAATGAAAGTAAAATAAGGCTGCATAAATGGTCTGGCGCCATCCCATTCAACAGATAACAATTTGTGAAATGCATTCAGGGAACACGACAAAAATGCCTAACTCGTGAATAAGGTCCATTGGGATTAAATCTGGGGTCAATAATTAATACTATCGGAAGTCGCGTTTATATCAACCAGTCCAGGCCTTTTGACAAGACGCAAGCGTGACTTTGGAATTCAAAATCGACTGCCGAAAGTTCAGGTGAATGATCGGACTATACACAGTGTAACTGGGTGATATGACGGCACAAAATTGAGACAAAATTCGAGGCTGCTCTTTTAACAAAGACACTCTCAGTCAGGCAGTGGCGTAGCCACCGGGGGGGGGGGGTGGGGGGCGACCGCCCCCCCCCCCCCATGAAACCTTGTCCCCCCCCCCCCCCCCCCCCCCCCACTGAGATTTTGAGTTTCTAAAAAAAATTATCATTGATCTAAATCTAAATAGTTGCGAATGATCCACATGATGACCACTGAGAAACGACCCTTCGACCGGCGACCGCGGACCAGTAAGCTGACAACCGGCGTGACATAGCGCATAATGATAATCTAAAATGCGTATTAACACCCACTGCACTGCTCGCTCACACCACGGAACACGTATTTTAGATAGGTGGTCCGTGGGTCACACAGTTTCAGTCAGCGATATCACGCGAATCGGCCACGCACAAACTTTTTCCTCCAATCATAAAAGCTAAAATAATAATAATAGACCAATTAAAATTCCCTGAAATCAGTGGGGTAGCCACGGGGGGGGGGGGGGGGGGGGGGGGGGGCCTGGGGGGGGGGGGGGGGGGCCTGGGGGCTACAGCCCCCCCCCATGAAACCTTGTCGCCCCCCCCAGTCGCCCCCCCCCCCCCCCCCCACTGAGATTTTGAGTTTCTAAAAAAATTATCATTGATCTACATGACGCCATGGGCGTCAATCCTGGGTGGACAGGGGGACTGGTCCCCCCCCCCCACACTTTTTGAAGGGTGGGGGACACAATATCAAATGTCCCCCCCCCCCAGATTTTTGAACTCGTGTCTCATTTACAGGGCCCTATTATGTACTACAATGTATCTTTTGCTTAGAAAATTTTGGTTAAAGTGGTCAGAAATTGCCTCAGATAGCACCACAGAGCATTTAGAATCCAAAATTTTTCGGGGCCCTTAAGCGGGCCCCGAACCCCACGTCTATAGCTCAGAATTCTGGTAGCTGATTCAATGACTCCAACCTCGAAAACAATGTTCCAAAAATGTTCGTATGCCTTTAGCTGAGAAAACTTAGAAAATTATGTTTAAATTATTATCTTTTGTGCTAAGATAATTATTGGTTAAAGTGGTAAGAAATTGCCTCAGATCACACCACAGAGCATCGACAATCCAAAACTTTTTTCGGGGCCCTTAAGCGGGCCCCGAACCCCACGCCTATAGCTCAGAATACCGATAGCTGATTCAATGACTCCAACCTCGAAAACGATGTTCAAATAATTATCCTTTGCTAAGAAAATATTAGTTAAAGCATGGAGGAAAGTGGTAAGAAATTGCTTCAGATCACACCACAGAACATCTAGAATCCATTTTTTTTCGGGGCCCTTAAGCGGGCCCCGAACCCCCACGCCGTAAGGGCTTCGCGCTTCGCGCTTCGCGCTTCGCGCTCGCATCAGTTCTGATCAAGGTATGTCCCCCCCCACTTTTGAGAAGCGATTGACGCCCCTACATGACGCCCCCCATGAAATGTTCCAGCCCCCCCCCCCGCGCCCCCCCCCCCCCCAGCGCCCCCCCCCCCCCTGAAAATTCAGGTCGTTACAGTTGAGGTTGCACAGGTCTTTTTTGTGATCCATCCAAATACAGCCTGCCACGCAGGCCTGTCTTTTAGCAAAGTCAATGTAAAGGAACCAATCTGCACTTACCCTGGAAAAATCTCCAGTCTCTGCTTTGTATCCCTTCTCGAACACCGACCTGGAGTTTGTAAGGGTTCTTCGTGTATTCGAAAACTGCAAATGATAATCGCAGTATGTACATGCGTGAGCTTAACGTTAAACAATTATGCACAAGGGCGTTTTGAGAGCTTGTTGGCGGTTTATACATTTAGATCTTTCACGTATTAGCCATAGGCACATTTGACTTCATATTGTTCACACCACAATCGCTTATCCCTTTGAACCTAGGCGTCATTTTGTTACTTACTTGTCAAGCTGGAATATGATCATTCACCAGCTCAATAATTATTTAATCAATTTGATGGCCAATTTAAAATGGCAAAGACACAGCTTTAAACAAAAATGGTTATTGAAATGTGGTCATTCTTAAAGTCAATGGCAATGAAACAGCACGCTTGAACAATTACGGTTAGTAACATCGCCACCGTTGGTCACATCTTGATCACGGCAGTATAGCTTAGGTTAATTTCGTCTCAAAGCCTGTTACCGATCCAACAATTCACAGTATCAAACCCATGGACAGATTTCCTGTTGCCCTATCAGGTCTAATGCATACCATATTTGAGCATCAGTGTTACTTACCTGCTAAGACCTCGTGACTATAGAGGGGCAGAATAAAATAGTGTTGACACAAATCCATAGCGTCGTTGCATTTCATATTGATGAGACTGAATCCCTGATTTGAGGATAGAAACAAATGTATATGAGATGTAACTTTCTTCAAGTTATAGACCTATTTCAAGTTAAACGAGGTACCACTCTAGAATAGTTACCAGATTTGCACCAGATTGGTTACTGTTTTTAGCTTCCCAGTTACTCTCCACTCGACTGATAAGCATCAGACATGAAAACAGGATTCGGAGCATTTTGGCGACTGATCAGTATCAAGTCTGGCCATATGAAAACTGAGCACCTAACACCGATGTGTACTGTATAAATGCTGGGCCAGCTTGAATTTTTTATAAAGAATTACTGGCATTAATTATTTGTGATTTAAGGGCTATATCAGCGTAGCTTGTCCGTGAATACCCTGTGTTAATCTGGAAGTTACTTGTACATTCTAATACAATAATTGAAGGAAATTGCATAATTCACTGCGATAATTATACAGAGTTATGAATTTGTTTCCTAGTCCATTGTACTTTATTGGGTTTTTTTAAAGCAAATTACCATAATCTTATTCAAAAGATTTAGTATTGCAATGATTTAGTGATTCATATCGTGGATAGCTAAACATACATGCCAATAAGAGTCTTTCGGTAAAGAAAACCCAAGGTCAGGAACATATATAAGTTACAGAATTTTAACACTGTTTTAAACTTCTGTCCATGCACGGATCACAAAAAAGGTAAGTGTTCTTTCAGCAAAACGAAAACAATTCACACACATCCCTATGTGATTTTTTTCGTTTTGCTGATGAAAGAACATTTACCTTTTTGTGATCCTTGGAAATAACCTTAAAACGGTTTTTGTGTTCAACATTCCGTATATAACATGAAAGGTACACATACGTGTTTTGAATGATTCTTGTACTAAACGAAAGCTTATTGATTGGGCTTTGATATCCTACATTTAGAAAGTGCTACATGCAGAACTTAATTAAATAATTGGTCCTGCCATTTGTGTTTCATTTTTTATACTCACACTGTACTTGCACTGCGACAAAACAGTACGCGTGTAGGCACATTATTGTTTATGTCCCATTGGGAAATAGACCGCTCCCTCAGTCAAGCCACGCCCATGATGTTTTGCAGGCCCGGATTATCCAATAGACACAGAGTAGGCACTGTGTCTAGGCCTACGAAAATATCCGGGGCCTACGAAAAATTCGGGAGCCTACGAAAATACCGCAATGTGCCATAAAATTAATTATAGGCCTATATATACCCGCACCCACGCTTACACAGGCATAGAAGTGGGGTACTTCCTTTGTTCTCGTGTACTAAAATTTTGAAATGTCGCACACTAATTTCAAAATGCTCTTATTTTAACCAGAATTAATTTCCTGGGCTGAAATTCGGACTTAATATCCCTTTTCTAAAACTCTTCCATTAGCGACCAATCAACCCACCTTGGAAATTCCTAGTTTTTGAGTAAAATCCATATATCTATTTCGTGAAAAACTTGTGGGTACCAAAATGGTACCCCGCAAGTCGGTGGGCATTCCTTGTGGGGTACCTTCCATTGTTCCGGTACCCCATATAAGGCAGTGTTTATACGTTCACACACACCCACACCCACAGTTTTAAAAAACGATTTCACCAACTGGCGCGGCGCCGTAAAATGTACATCACGTAAGCATACATGACCTACGTATACAATGTACGTGTAAAGTCTGTGCTTCTGAAGCACGGTGCCAACCATGGGCGTCGATTGGTGGGGGACGGAGGGGCATGTCGTCGTCTTCAAGCTATTTTCGTCCCCGAATAAAACATTGTAAACTTCATATTTTGATTCTATAGCTCAGAACAGCTGGTTTTAAGTACTCCAAACTCGAAAATGATGATGTTCTTTTGCTAAACAAAAGTTGGTTAAAGTGGTCATAATTGTCTCAGATGTCACCACAGAGTGTCTAGAATCCAATGGTTTTTCAGGGCTCTTAAGCGGGCCCCCAACCCCACGCCGTTTAGGCTTCGCACTCGCATTAGTTCTGATCAAGAGACAGTGCCACCTCCACTTTTGAGAAGCAATTGACGCCCTTGGTGCCAACAGGCTTTTAGAGCTAGGACCCGGGTCCTGGCCTGATTTGTACAGTGCGTTGTACCTTGAATTTGGTGCCGGTGGCTAGAGCGGAGTAGGGCCTACGGAACACTGGTGCCTAGAGCCTACGAAACACCTAATCCGGGCCTGATGTTTTGACCAATCACGGTTCTGATTGCAGCACTCACTAATATAATAATAATATCCTACAGAAGTTTGCCCTACATGCACGCTTGTAAATGGTGTGCTAGTTCACTGACTTTGTCAGTAGGTTTATAAATCATTTTATTAATAATTATTACTCGGTCATATTTTTACGCCAGTGTGGAAATTGAAGACCGGGACATTTCAGACCGGGTAATTTCAAACACTGTAATATAATTTCGGGTAAGTAAATATTCTGAATCCTATAGAGAAAAAAAACTGAAGTCACAATTTGTGCAGTACAGCTAGGTTATTCCACTGGAAACATGATGGACAATATGCATCTCACACGGAGATCGCGTGTGGGGCTATTGTGAAATGTAATCGGCAACTTTTTTTTCTGACATTAGGAAGGGCTGATGCCGCTTCACAGAATCTTGTGTAGGAAGTACGCATGGCATTATGGGTATCTCATCAGCAGCGCTGCATGCTACGTCACAGGTCACGCAAAATCTATCCCATGAGAGCTCGAAGAAATCAGCCCTTCCCAGCGTCCTGTTTGCAGGAGGGGGGGGGGGTACGAGCGAAGGCGCCCTACATCTGACAGCGCTTAATTGTATGACAAACTTTAATATGTAGGATATTCTGGTGTAGTATGTTTCTCGGTTCGAGTATATGCCCACCGCTGCACCTCTTGCACTTTGGGTGGCATGGGTGGCTTGTGCGATGTGGCCGGCAGCCATAGGCGCCTTTACGTGCCAGCGGCCCGACCACGTTGTAGCATACCAGCATAATTCAGCATACCAGCTGCGAGTAAGGATGATTAGCCTCCCAAATTATTATTATATTAACATAAAACAGTTCATTGGAACTGAAGAACAAAGTACCTGGCATTTGAAGATGTATTACCTTGAATGGCATTTAATTACTCGAAAGCTATTGCTTATTCGACAAATATAATAAAAGACGTTTACATTTGCATATTAATGCAAAAACAAAACCGACTCATAAATTATTGAGTTATTAATAAACAGCATTTATACGATACACATCGGTGCATGGTCCTCAGGTTTCACATACAATTTGGCCAGAGCTGTTAAACTGATCAGTCGCGAAAATGCTCCGAATCCTGCTTGCATGTCTGATGCTTGTCGTCAGTAGAGTGGAGAGTAACTGGAATGCCGAAGAAAGCGATTCATCAAAAGCAAAAATGGTAACTACAGGGTGAGTCAAAAAAAGCGGAAACCAAACCCCCAAAACTATATTTCATATTTAAAAAAAATATGTAGCACCGAAAATAATACTGACTGGAAAGCCAATTTCATAAGCTACTTTTAAAATTGCTCAATCCGTTCAAAGAATATCACCATTTAAACACAATGACCCTTAAACCTCTTTCGTCAAAAAAAGCGATTTCAAGAATCGTCGTCCAAATTGTCTTCAAACATCACCAGCGATAAAACCTCAGTTGAAAAGTAAAAAAATATTACACAGAGTCTTTTTGAAGGCCCGTCTTTTAATAAAGTGGATTTTAAAAATAATATGTTTTGCCTAACAAGGGTCATTAATAAAGATATTGTGTACTACAGTTGTTGACAGTTGTTGAAACAAGTTTTCTTTGTTGTTCCAAATAGTCAGAATACACAATAAATTGCTCCTTTTTTTGGGGACGAAACAGGTTTTAGGTTTATTGCGTTTAAATGGTGATATTATTTGAACGGATTAAATAATTTCAGTATTTTTTCATCTAAAAGTAGCTTATGAAATTGGCTTTTCAGTCATTACTATTTTTGGTGCTGCATTTTTTTTTTTTTTTTAATATGAAACATATTTTGGGGGGTTTGGGTTCCTCTGTTTTTGACTCACCCTGTACATGTATTCTCCTGCCGCATATTGTCTAACGTATAAAGTCCCAACAAAAGAAAGTTACATTCCCTTTCTTTGATTTTCCCACCGCCAATCAGGGATTCAGTCGCATCAATATGACATGCAACGACGCTGAGGATGTGTGTCAACACTGTGTCATAATTCCCCTCTTTGGACAGGAATTCTTAACAGGTACGTAACTCATAGAGACGTTAATCAAGCCTCGGGCAACATAAATCTGTCCGTGTAACGGGTGAGTACAACAAAATGAAACCAAAATGGCAGAACCAATTTTTGAATGAAGTTCAAGTTGCCTGTAGCACATTCAAAATCTAGGATATGAAAACCCAATCAATAAGCTTTCATTTAAAATAAGAATCATTGAAATCACTCGTGTAATTTTTCGAGTTTTTTTTTCAAGAGTTTTGAATACAAACACCGTTTAAAAGTTCTGTCCATGGATCACAAAAAAAGGTAACACCGGTGTTTTTTCAGCAAACGAACACAATTTTTATAGGGATGCATGTGAATTGTTTTGGTTTTGCTGGAAGAATGCTTAACTTTTTTGTGATCCGTGGACAGAACTTTAAAACGGTGTTTGTGTTCCGAATTCTGTAACGTGAAAAGTACATGAGATTTTAGTTATTCTTGTACTAACAGAAAGTTTATTGATTGGGCTTTCATATCCTAGATTTTAAAAGTGCTACAAGCAAAACTGCATTAAAAAATTGGTCCTGCCATTTGGGTTTCGTTTTTTTTCTAGTCACCCTGTAGAGTGATTTAAAAAAAAATCCACTAAAGGTAACAGGCCAGAACAAGGTATGCGCAAAGGTACTAAGCATGAACATGCAGTTGTGCGATAATGAAATAAATAATATTTTAGCTGGATTGAATTTTGTATTTTCGAGCAATTTTAAACATTAATTTCGAACGATTACAGTACAAGCTCTCAATATAACAAATTAATCATTCTTGCAATATTGTCCTCCGAAA